AACCCTGTTTTAAAGTATGATAATGCATTTTCACTTGGCCATGATTGGTTATTGTATTTCTGAAATCGACTCATTTTGTTGGTCAGATCATTCAGTGTGTTTAGTTTTACTAGTGGCCAGAGGAGGGCAGTGTGGGTTTGCTTTTTGTAAAAATCTGTGAAAATGTCTAAAACATGTCCAAATGCTTGTTCCATTCCACATTTATTTGAATAATGTTTTTTAAAGCACACATCTATCTGAAAGTCACATATCAAATAAATCAATTGATTTAAATTGGTTCTCTCTCCCTAATTGTGTTTGACAAATCATTAAAGTCTTGAAAGATATATTAACAAAGAGAAGTATCAAAAGACCATATGAGGCAGGAACATATTCATGTATTATTGTTGTTGTTTATGGTGTGTGTGAGTAAGTGGGTGTGTATGTGTGTTTCTGGGCCTATTAGAAATGTCATTGAAATTACCATTAGGTGGCGCGTAGTTTCGATAAAAAGTGTACTCTTCAGTCCAACATAAAATCCATTCCACACTTTTCAGAAACTCTAGTCTGACAGGGAAAACTAGATTATGGAGTTATTAGAGGGTTATAGCAGTAATTCTGTATGCAGCTGAATTAAAAGGGCAAATAAGGTGTGGGTGATAATGAGACATTTAGACAAGTCTATTCAAATGTTTATATATTCTATAACTATCTCATCTTCACAATATCTACTGCAATAGATTTTCAAGAATTTCCTACATAATATCTGGGTTATTATCGTTAACTAAACTAAAACTACAAACATTAAAACAATTACAAATAAAATTAATGTCCACTGAAATATAAAGTAAAAAAAAAATAAAAATCTAAAAACATCATTTTGATTCAGCTAGTTGCCAGTCACCATTTCTGAGCTCCATTTCAAGCTGAAGTACTTCAAAATAAATAAAACACTAAGATAAATGACAAAATTAATAAATAAAATGAAAATAAAAACTAATAAAAATGACAAAAACACACAACAAAATGATTCAAGTAAAATTTAAGTTAAAACAGAAAAAAAACTATTTAACAATATTAACAAAAACGATATTAGTATATCAATTATACTAAAATAACACTGCATAAAATATATGGCATTAAATATCTGCCTTATCTATTTATAAGGATAACAAATTATCAGTCATACTTGTGTTTATTGAATACAACTGTTTTGCTTTATACAACAGCTCAGTAAACAAGGTAAGTCACTTATATTTTAGTATTGCCAGGTACTTTGTCTATTTTTGCTCCTCCAAAATAGTTCCAACCAATTTCAAAGCAGATCTGCATATCTGAGCACAGTAGTGTTATTCGTTCCTTAATGAATTAGCATTTTTTAATGAATTGATTGAGTGCTTGATTCAGTGACTCGCTCACATATCTACTATTCAGTATATGTGTCTACTGTACACACATAAACTATAGGCTATATACTAATATACATTTTTACTTACTACACATTACATGAGCAAAAGGATGTGTTTGGAAAACCTTTCTGAAATTCTCAAGCCATGACTAAAAGGAATGGCTGTTCGACAGCCGGGAGTCCATTTTTCATTGTGCTACCTCAAAACCACTTGAGACTACATCTTTGAGACTGGAAGCTGGGATGCCTGCTAAGGGTCACAATGTAAAACCTTTGCAAAAGGCATCCCAGGCAACTCCTGTTGAAAAGGTAAGCCTGTTTTAAAAATACTGTATGTATGTACAAAAACGTGTGTTATTTGGCCTTTGTTATGGACCACTACTTAAAATCTAATTAAAATCTTCTTCAGTTCTAAACAAGAAATACACATGCAAACCTAAAAACAACAGCAATAATATAGCTTGACCTTAATTTG